TGTACATCAAATTTGATAAGATGGATTATCAGCATAGGATGAAGTCATTATCAGTCAAGATTAATATCCCTTAACAATCGCTCTGTACGAATGAGCACTATCGAAAGATTAGTCCATTTCAACAATTTTTTTACCCAAGAAGAATCAGCTTGATATAATTTTGAATATCCAAGCCACGAGGAGAACGTTTGTGGGCCATCAGCTTAGATCAATCAACTTTCAAGAAGCCAAGGTCATTGAAATTTTAGCTCCTTAAAAGTTATATAAGAGCCCTATGCAAGATGGATGTTTGAATGTAATTCAACTGATCACCCTAAAGTTAAGGGAATTCCTGAAATATAGTTCTAAAGTACGTTGATAATCATTGCCGCAGTAATATTCTGTCGACGAGCGAGATTTAGTCAACTCTCTAGCCTATAATGGTAACTTTTCCTATGTCCGCCAGAGCTGCATATTGAGGATGTTTTCATACAAATGCTTCTATTCATTTTGAAGAGTCATCTAACTCCAGCTCTCTTAGGGGTGATCAATGACTTGTTACAGTGAGCTGACGACTATGAATATTTAAGCAAAAAAAGGTAGAAAGGCGTTTAGTTGAAACTTAAATAGAGTTTTCCCAGTAAGAGAGTGATAAGCATTCTTCAAGCGCGATAAAAGATATATAACACAAGATACAATTGAATCTCAAGACAGAAAACTAACCTTGTGAAGCTGTTTTGCGATCTCCACATAGTTGTTATGGTCTGTGAGATTCGCAAACGAGTAGAATGAGAAGAAATCAGCTAAAATACAGTCAAACAGCTTTTGGGGTTTCCGGTTCCAAACACGCCTTCAAATTGTAGATGGTCCCGCCCCATGTTGTTACTCTATTACTCCACCCTCGAAGTTAATAATTGAAGAAAGCATGACGAAGTGCTGCTGTATTGCGCAAAGATGCACAAAATCAGAGAAGGATCAACAGGAATTCCACCGTAGTGGAGATGGAGTAAATGTTTATGCCTTTCAAGCATATATCCGTGTCACAACTGCAGTAATCACATAAACTCGTTGAGATCTGGCAGAGAAGGATATTTCTTATGCTTTGACACAGAGTATATGTTGCGAACAATATTGTATGGGTCGAAAGGCCATTTCAGAGGTCGAAAGGTTACACAGTTCCTTTATTTCAAAGTTGAAAGCTATACAATATTTGCCCATTCAAAGCCAGTATAAAATGACCTCGGCTAAATGATAAATCTTGTTCGTCCACGTTCTTGCCACTCAGCTTCTCTTCTCTCTATACGTGATAGAAAAAAGTCAGTGCACCTTGTTTCAGATAAGTTCTTGCTATTGAATTAGCTGGTAACTAAGTTTAGCAACTCGGCTGCAGCTTTGAACCTGCACACTTGAAAAACTAGCGTAAACGCTTTATGATTTCTTTGTACGTCAACATCTGCATTCATACAAAAGCATTGATTAGAAAGAAGTAATGTCCCACCCAAAATAAATGGAATCAGTGATCATTCTTTTCAGTCGATTGGACATGTCACAATACGATCTTTGCTCTTCGGTTTATGGTCAGTTGTTAGGTCCTGCTGATTATAAGCATTTCCAGTGCTTGTTACATACTACATATATTACTATTTTAATAATCACCAAGGCATCAAGGCTATTTCAGTCCTAAATGTGAGTGATACGATGTCATCTCATCGTACCGTTACGTCATTTTTAATTTCCTTCACAAGATTGTTGAAAAATTTACTTTTTTTTCAGTGTGACTTATTACGTAAGCAGCGATTTCGTTATTGACTTGTAGTCGATACTGCATACATTTTGTAAGTGCTTTTCCGTTCCGCTCCTAGTTCGGTCCCTCGGTGAAAAAGAATTTCTCAGATGTCTCAAAGTTTTTAGCCGCCTCAAAGTTTGAGTATCCAATTAACAGTTTGAATCTTGAAAAACTCCTAATTATATCATACTTCTAGAACGGCTTTCACATGCGCTGTAACAACAGAGAAATTATTTTCCTCATTCATGTATTTCTCACTGAACAAACTTTTTCCTTCAAACTTTCAGTAACCGTTCGATAACCTATATCTCGAAAATTTCAATGACCTATTTAGTTTTTGATTAGAAATTCCCAGTATGCTGTAACAAGTAAAAGAAGACTGAGATTCGCAAACTTGGCGACTTCTGCAGTGCATTAAGAAGTCTTTTTTCAAAAACCAATGGCACATTGGAATCAACGTGACTCAAGATATCGAATGGTTGCTGAAAGTCTGGAAGAAAAGCTTTGTCTAGTGAGAAATGTATAAATGAGAAATATATTTTCATTTTTACTGTTACAGTGCAACAATGAGGCCCTTTCCAAAGTGAAATACACATTTAAAACCTCTAAAAATGCGATTTACTACGTAATTACAAAAAAGAGAGTTTTAAACCTAAACGAGTTTGGTACGCCAGGGCCATACACCGGTGTTTCGGAGGTTTCCACTTCGTCGTCAGTGACCCCCGCCCCACATTAAGCCTTGCATTGTAGCAAAGAGGGAGGCGTATGTAGTGATGGCATAGTGTACAATGACTCTGGTCCATCACCACTTTCATTCAATGAATTTTGACTGATAGACCAAAATTAATCCATAAGATCGACTGTTTTTTTCTTATTTCTTGCTACAACGCAAGGCTTAATGTGTGGCGGGGGTTACTGACGAGAAGGCCGAAACCTCCGAAACACCGGTGTATGGTCCTGGCGTACCAACCTGGTTTAGGCTTGAAAATTATTTTTTGGGATTATTTTCAATGTTTATTACGAGGTTCTAAAAACAATCGATCTTATGGATTGATTTACTAGGTAATTATTAAGACTTAAAGAGAACCAAAGGAACGCATCTCTCAAGGAGTTGAAAAAGACGTGCGGATAACGAAAACGATGCCGATTTGCGGAAATCAATATTCTTTAACATGTTACAGGGTAACAAAAGGTGTTCTCTGAGAATCAAACATTTTATTGGAATTGTCAAGATTCAAGCTATTGAATGTTTACTAGATGTCTGAAGGAAAGCTTTGTTCAGTGAGAAATATTTGAATGAGGAATACAGTTTCATTTCTGCTGTTACAGCACATTAAAAAGGCTAGTTTTGAGATAATACACCTTTTTAGAATTTTTGAGATTTGAACTATCGAACACAAGCTTCAAAAACAACCAAAAACTACGTTCTTTCCAAAGGGTTGAAGTGGGGTCGGATAACGGAAGCGATTCCTTCTTTGTGTTTTCGCATCACTACTGTCGTGTTAACGTCAATACTACGTATCAAGAATTTACCAAAGTTTGAGGTATAAGCTGTCAAGGTAACACTCAACAGTGCACGAATAGGTACTAGGAGTTCCGAGATTCTTTCAAACCTAACCTCTCGTATTCAATAGTTTTCGCCAAACGATTGATTATTGTCGATTAACGAGCAACTTAACTGCGGCCAAAAATTAGGCGACGCCGCTTGCGGCCGACATTGTACAGGCTCCGACGCGATTAGGCCGGTAGAAAAGACTTCGGTGCTTTGACCGGACTGTACTATTTCTTGTTGTAGCATCTTCAAAATCTTATGCTTAAGAAACTAGATCGTTGTTCATATTGGATGTACGCTGAACTTTGAGTACTTTATCTCCAGGATTTTCAGTTTTCTAGTGAAGGTTTTGGTTTTGAAGGGCAAGTAAAGGGCGGAGGTAAAATATCGGCTCAAATGACAATATACTGACAATGTCATTGTACTTTCACCTTTCAAAGAATAGGAAAAAAACCTAGAGATCCTCGTGGATGACGGATACAAAAAAGAATCAAGTCGAGGAAATACCGTGATCCACACGGTTACGATTGGAATGGAGATATTCTTTAAGCTTTGTGAGGCTTGGGACAGTGGAGGCCTTTGTTAGGAAAAAGGGGAAAAAGTATGAAATAATGGTGAGGGTATGGTTTACCATAGTACACTCCAGATTCTCCCTAACATCCAGTGTCAATATGCAATGACTTATAATCGACAACCGTGATTGTCATGAAGAACTCAGGCAATCCTTCCCTCCTCATTCCTTCCTAATTTGCTCAACACGGCGAGATACTTTTATACCGTTAAATATGATTAAAGCGTATAAAACGGGAATATACATTTTGAAGACTGTCGTTCTTGAGCTCACGCGAGGATGATCTCAGCTGTTCTTGCTGCCCTTGTAATTGTGATACGAGAGCAGACGTTTCGACGACTTCGTTCCCTCTACAGCATGGACGTATTTCATGTTGCGTTATCCATTTAATGAACTCTTCCATGATTTGGTAAGTATCGCGGGGTATAATATTTTATATCAATCTTGCGGTATGTGCCCAATCATAAAACTAACTGTTATTGATCGCTAACATCGAGGTTCATGGAGAATCGGTTCTCAATGATTTGCTCACATAGTTCAACCTATGCGAGATTAGTGTTGAAACCTTTCTTCCGTCAATGTTTCGACGCCTTCGTCTTCCTCAAAACCGATGATTAGCGTCGATTGCCCTCGTTGTTGCTACTCTTTGTGGATCTTCATATTCGTCATTGTTCAAGTCGGAACCCCTGGTAGAACAAAAGCCTTAGTCGAATATGATTTCAATCAAGCCCAGTGTACACACAATTATGTATAAGATTACTGAACTCATTCTCCGAGAATTTTCGTCTTTTAACTGCTTTTTCGCAGTGTTATGATGTTGCATATATACTTAAGAGAATTGAGTGGTGAGCAAAAATACGGCCGCGTTCTTCCATACCGGGGACGCATGCTACCACCACTACACCACTGAGACACATTTGCGACACCGCTCATTCTTCAACATCTGTGTATTAGCTATCAGCCACTAACTTTTAGCAAGTTTGCTTTTTTTCGCAGTCATATGATGTTACACATATACCTAAGATCGAAATCGCGTACCCGACCAAAACTGTTGAAGGCTGTGGCTGATAGCTGACATAGAGATGTTGAAGAATGAGTGGTGGCGCAAATGTGCCTTGGTGGTGCAGTGGTAATAGCACGCGTCCCTGATATGGATGAAACGCCAGTTCAGTTCCCAACTGAGGACGTGTATTCACTCGCCACTCAATTCTCTTAGGTACATATAAACTCACTCTTTTTATTGCTAATTTTAGTAGTGATAGGATGTTATAAATCACTCAAAAGTGTAAAATTATGCGCGAAAATTCGACATCATGCCGAAGTCGAAACCGTATCTCACCTGTATCGAGCCGAATAACATTAAACATCCATGTCGAGATTCAAAAAAGTCGGTTTTTGAAGCACTATTACTACGTTATATACTTACCGTATGAATCGTTTCATCATATATCGTTTTAATGATGACCTGTTTGTACAAATGGACGTCAGCTTCTGAGAAATTTTTTCGTCAAAGGTAACGTCCAGTTGTACCATAGATCTTCATTGGCACTAAGGATAATCCACCAGAATATACGAATATATGATATATATCGCTATATGATATATGAATAGCGCTACATAAATAACATACAAGATATATGAATAGCGCTACATAAATAACATCCAAGCCTAGCAACGATCTCGCGTCATCTCAACAGGGGCACTTCCAGGAAATTAGATTCATCAATTATGAAGCAACATTATGGCAAGTTAATTCTATGAAATACCTGAACTACTTGCACGAGCTAAAAAGATTCTCACAGAATACAACAATAAGAACCATTTACAATTTTCTCACAGTACCTAGGATTATTAACTTTTCGGAATATGTTAGATATAAAGCCCTTTGTTACCACTTCTAGGACGGATTATTGACAAATTCCTATTGATGTGCATTTGATTCAGCGCACAGGAGTCCAAAAGCGTCCGTTCACTCAGATTATCAAACATATCTCATTATATGACCAAATCCGCGTTTTCAATGAAGTCGAAATCTGCAACTCCATGTGAATGAATTGAATCTGACCGGATTCTTCTCACCAGCACACAATGATGTGAGCGAATATTAACGTTTTCTGCTACTACTTTTCAGATTTTAGAAGAGTTCGATTTTTGCCCAAATTTTGCAACAAAATCCGAGTTCTAAGTTAATTTTAGTTTAAAGCAAAATGTTTTGAAATATAGTATATTATCAAGGTGAACTCAAAACAGCAAGTGTGGCAAGGTGCTTGATTAACCGAAATCTTATCAGTTTTCGAAGTTAAACAGTCTCTATAAACTATATAAAAATCAATACTATTTTGAACTTTCAATGATAATCTTGCTAATGATAATTTTTTGCCTAAATTTTTACGCTCTAATGCTCCAAATGCTTTGCACGCTGACTCTGTAACGTATGCGATTCTTCTTCTAAAACATTAAACCACGGTAAATGAGGCCTTCTTGAAAAACCTCATATATAAATGGCTACACCAACTGTGCTATAATTTCCAAGTTGTACAATCGTTAGTGATGCATTTTGTTCATTTATACCTCTGAATCTTTATACTCCAGCATTTCAGTTCCTTGGGATGTTATCTTCGTATATGGCGCATTTCTTCTATAATTGGATCGCGAAGATTATCTCATAGACAGTACTAGGTCTTCTCGTAAGTTTTGGCAACAGAACAATAAACAACAAAGTTATTAACCAAAAATAACTGAAATTGCTTAACAACACTATTTAAAGTATGTGTCACCAGTCTTAATACAGTTCTGCTATCTCTCAGGTAACAAGTCAATACCGCAATCATAGAACCCGTCATCTTCGGATCCAAAGAAAGTTGTCAATCCTCAAAGTAAATGACTGATGTCTCGAACTTCTTCTTGATCAGAGCGTTCCAGCGACGGGGAGAGGTGATAGTTTGGCAGAGACAAGTCAGGACTATACGGCGGATGATCCAGCAACTACCAGCCCACTTCACTCAGCTTCCTCTTTGCCAATTTGGCGGCATGCAGTCTTGCGCTGCCTTGAAGCAGAGTGAGACTGCAGCGGTTCAGCTGCCCACAGTAGCGCTTGGCGTCGATCGTCTCTTCCACTGGCAGAAAGTCTTAGTGACAAAAGATGATGAGATAATCTTTGGCGCGAATTGATAAGGACGTAGGGTTGAAGTTCCTTGTTGGAGTTGTGTTGCCGAGCGAAACTCAGCAAAGCAGCTCAATGCGGTTCGCATGGACACAAATCCTTGAGCCTTTACACAGTTGATGTTTACAAAGGAGGTCTGTGCATAGCGTCCCAATTCGTACTCGTAAAGCAGCAAATAGCGTTAAAGGCTTCGTAGAACGGTAATGATGCGGCTAGTATGGGAAAATTTTATACTAAAAGGAAACTTAGAATTTTACACAAAACGGTATTGAGTTGTTGTCTGAGAGATGACAGAGATCTGTTCAGGTTCATGGCACATGCTTTGAATAGTTTTCGGACAATTTTAGTTACTTCTGGTTAATAAACTTGGTGTTAATTGCTCTGTTACTAAAACTTATAAGAAGACCTAACATATAATTCTTCTTGTTAATGTTCAAGTGATTGCGAAGTGCTAGTTAAAACTACCCATTTGTTGTTTATTGCTATTAAGATATAAATGCTGAAAATTCTCGAAGCTCCAATGCTTTGGCAAGTTGTTACCAAGTGCCACATATCAGTGACATGTCAAGCTCTCTATGCTTGTCATCCAGTTCCATGAGAGGCACACAAAGGCTCCTTTCCTCGTTATACATCTATCCATACAAGGTTTCCCTTTATGTGACTTTATGTGTTACAACCTTGAAAATCTCAATGCTGTCTGCAATTTGTTGTTATGTGAATACTTTCCTATGGAAAAAGTGTAGCTTACTGTGGAAACCACATTTTTGTATTATTCGTCCTTTTAGTGCGATATATCTCGTTACCATAGACACGCAATTTGAAGGTCAACTACATCTCTTGATTCTCTCTCGGATTGTCACCAATTCCTCTCCCTGAAGCAGTGTCGGCGGGAGAAAAAGGCAAAGAAGCAAAGGTTAGATCCAGCTCAATAGGGAGCTCACCGACTTCTTTGAAGGACATCTTCTTTCTCTCTGGAAAGAAACCAAGGAAAGACAAAGGCGCTGAATGCGAAAGAAATAATAAATAAGCGATATTATAACGCACGTTTCGAATGTTATCTTAAGACTACGCTCAAATTTTCGATTTATCTGATAACTATTTTTGAGCCAACATGTCGTGTGGTCTTTTATTGACACTTATAGAGCTCAATACACGTGTCAACCTCGTCAGCTGGGCAGTATCCTTCGTCTTAGGCAATCCTCTCGGGGTCTCCTATCCTTCTACATCGAGTATGCGACGACGAGCAATTTACACGTGCCCTCAAATGGAATAAATCAGTAGATTGGCACTGTCGTACTCTCGATTGCTCTTGGCTGCTGTTTTTGAAGTATCACACCGTTCGTTTCAAGTGTTTTATAACAGCACGCTTAGAATCTCAAAATATCCAATAATTCTTCAGAGCCTTGGCGTATGTATCCAATAATTTTTTTTAATCAAATGATTTTCAATAGTTAATAATTTTCTACGAACTGTTCTCTTTGATTAATAACCACCTGTCACCTGTATCACCTGTCGTCCCGTTGATTGTCGAGAGACTCGAGCGGGTACCAGGAACACTTCCATTTTTCCCTGTCGCGTGCAACATTAGCCCAGTGGGTTCTCCTCGCTCTAGGGATTCGCTGAGCATCAAAACTTTCTTCTGTACCTTTCGTGAAGAAATCAGACCACCGGGATGGCTGTGCTCCTGTGGAGAGCTTTACACACCGAGAAATCCATTTGGTAACGAATCGTGTCCATCGGTTGTCGTTAAAACGCACTTCTTGTGCGGCTCACCTTATCTTCAACTGTCTGGCGCTTACAACAGCATCTTTGATTTTCAATCAATCGCTCGGCCTTTTAACTGCGCGTTAAATAACGCCAAATGATCGCTCATCCTGCTTACGTATCAACCAGGTTTCTGCTGCATACTTTAGGGCAGGGATAATCGTTGAGTCGAAAAGGTGACACGGAGCCGGATGTTCTTAGTCCTTTTCACTACACCTTCGATGCTCTTAAACGTTCTCCAAGCCGCTCGTTTCCTCCTGCTCAACTCTGGAGCTGGGTCATTCATCATGTTGATTTCACGACCTAAATATAAGCAACCAGAGCATTCGAAGAATTTCCTTCCGTTGAGCGTGAATGAGGCATTCAAAACCCATCCGTTCCTCATGAACATCGTTTTCGTTAGATTTACTTGAAAACTAATCTTTCTACAGGAGTTGTCAAAATCGGTCAGCATTCGTTCCGCTTGACTGATGCTTGGTGTTAAAAGGACGATATCATTAACAAAGCGAAGATCCCATTCTAATGTTCGCATGGCGTTTTCGAGGATGGCAGTGAATAATTTTGGCGACATCGTACCGCCTTTTCAAACCCCATTCTTATGTCGATTGTGATATTGTTGCAGAATGGAGATATTTTCGTCGTGAAATCTTTATATAGGTCACGAATGACCATTTTGTAGCGAGTAGGGACGCCCTAGTTATCCAGAGCCTCTATAACTGCTTCTGTTTCCACTGAATCAAAGGCTTTCTTCAGATCGATAAAAGTGAGACAGAGTGGTTGTTTGTACTCTCGCGAAACTTTAATGAGTCTTGTGATCGTGTGGATGTGGTCTATGGTACTAAATCCTTTTCGGAACTCTGCTTGTTCGCATGGCTGTCCTTCGTCCAGTGTTCTCTCAATCCTGTTTAGGACGACTCGAGTTAAGAGTTTATAGACAACGGGCAGCAAGCAAATTGGACGATAATTGCCTATGTCGTGAAGGCCTCCCTTTTTGAACAACAATACGGTCTTGCTGGTTTTCCACTGAATGGGAACCTTGCATTCTGACAGGTAGCGAGAGAAGAGCCGAGCCAGGGTATTGATGAGAACTGGCGGTTAGTTCTTAAGGTGCTCTGGTCTGATCCTGCTGGACCGAGTGTCGTTCTGCTCCTCACCGACGATATAACATGCCGGATTTCAGAAGGGAGGGCCAGTGGGACGTCATATTCATCCTCCTTCAATTTATCTAACGGTAAAGGCTAACGAAGGGATCCGAGTAGT